GAACTCTCCTGGTGCCCTGAGAGATGTGGCGTGTCCAGACAGGGCCAGAGCGAGGCGCGCTGGTTGACTGGAGGGGAGGTAGCATTGCTGTTCCAGGTATAACCAGAGGCCCCGGATCACTGAGGCTGTTAGTCAAGCTCCTTTCACCAGCATACTGCCAGAGCTGGGAGTCCCAAGGGAGGCAAAACACAGAGCTCCCGTGCTCGCCAGTGTCTCCGAGAGCCCCCCCTCCAGTGAGAGGGGGTGGGCTTCAGAGGCGATCTCCTCCAGGCCTCGGCTGCAGCGTCGGGGCTCAGCAAAAGCAGGGGGTGGTTGAGATGAATGGGCAGAGGGAAGCATGTGCATCTGGGGGGGGGGCAGGGCTCAGAGGCTGGGGAGCATCCTGTGACGTAGGATAGTTTGTGGCTCTGTGGGGGTCCTCTTTGTAAACTGGTGTTTGTAACTTTGAAGGACAGAATGATAGAGACCATAATGCACCACTGCCCGCTGGAATTGGAACCGCCCAACCATGTGTCATAGCCCCCTTTACTGCCAAGAGCAAACTGGGATTCTCCTTTAGCTCATCTAGTCAGGGCCTGTGCTTTTCATAACTGAGCTCTCTTTCTCCAGCACACAGGCCAGTCTGAGCAGCTGGGCTCTGCAGCATAGCAGCCACCGTAGCGTCCTAGTCGGCCACTGATTTGTTGCAGTATTTTGAATTCGGGTCTTTCCTCACAAGATTCTGCTTTAGTGACTTTCTGTCACTGTTGGATTTGAACCAGTGACCTTGAGATGAGGCTCTGTACCCCACTGCCCAGTCCCCTGAGCCATCCCAGTCTGCTCCTGAGCGAATATTCCATTTTTCCTTCTTTCCTACCCACGCCCAGATTAACACCAACCTGAGTGACTTCCAGTTCCTCTTCTTTGACCTGGTCATCACTATGACCGTGGCTGTGCTGATGGGCAAGACCGGACCTGCCAAGGAGCTGGGCGCAAAGCGCCCCCAAGGGGCACTGATCAGCATTGTTGTCCTCGGCAGCCTCCTCCTCCAAACGGCTCTGCTGATCACGGTTCAAGTCATGAGTTACTTCATCACAGTCTCGCAGAGCTGGTAAGTGTCTGCCTGGGGCACAGCTAGTTCCTTGTCTGCAACTGGCTACAGCAGCTAAAAGGGGAGGCCCAAAAGCTCATTTTGGCCTCGTGAAAGGCACCGTGTTGGGAATCCCCCAGACTGAATCAGAGCTGGGGGCGCATCCTGTCTCCTCCCTGGCCAGCACCATCTGCATCAGGCACCAGAACAGCAACCCGCCCCCAGAGGAAGTTCCTTCCTAACCCCCGTCAGATGGCTCATGTCCTTTCTTGTCCACTAATCCTCAACTGGGAACCAAATGCGGCTTTCGGCAGTGACTCCCTCCAGGCCAAGCCAGCTGCACGTTGCAGGCAGGTCCCGCCGGATCGCGCCGCTCCCTGCGTTCAGAGGCTCGTGCCTGATCCCTGGCCCTCCCCTCCTCACCCAGGTACGTCCCGCTGAACAGCACGGTGAGTGCCCCCCAGAACCTGCCCAACTACGAGAACACCGTGGTATTCTGCATCTCGGCCTTCCAGTACCTGATCCTCGCCGTCACCATGTCCAAGGGGTACCCCTTCCGGCAGCCGCTGTACACTAACGGTAAGAGCCAAGCCGGCCTCCTCTCTGCAGGGGGTGGTTCCCGTGGTCACTTGGCTCCTGTAACCAGCCCTTTGGGGGCGGGAGCTGTGTGTCCTGGGTCCGTGATGTCTCCTCTTGCCCCCCCAGTGCCGTTCCTGCTTGTCCTCGTCGCTCTCTTCGGCCTGACAATTGGGATAACTCTTTACCCGCTGGGTTTCGTGAAAGCCATGCTGAAGCTGAAAGACGTAGGCGACATGAACTTCAAGCTGCTGCTGCTAGGCATGGCCACGCTCAACTTCTTCACAGCCTTCATGCTGGAGGTAGGAGGGTCGGGGAGAGCTGAATTCAGAGGGAGCACCCAGCTACGGGGGCAGGGTTCCTGCGGGATCCCCCTCTTATTAGTACCCCTCTCTAAGCCCCCCATGGGCTGATGTTCCCGATGGGCTGGGGAGTGCTGGGCACTGCTTCTTCTAGAGCAGAGGTCCCCAAAGTGTGGGGCACACCCCCCTGCGGGGGCTTGGAGGACCGTCTGGGGGGGCACGGCAGGGTCCAGGCTAGCCCCCACGGAGAGGGGGGGGAGCACCACCCAGCCTCTTCCCACCCCTAGCTCTGCTCCGGTTAGGCTCCCGACCGCGGCCACAGCCACACACAGCCCAGGTCCCAGCCTCAGCCAGAGCCCAAGGCCAGGAGTGGAGCCACACCTGGCCAGGGGCCTGACTGCTGGCCCCCACCACAGCCTGGCTGCAGCTCTGCTCCTGCCCCCAAACCCACTCCCAGCCTCACTCTCCTTACTCCTATCCGCATCTCTCCCTTCCCGTCCCCACCAGCCACGGCCCCGCTCCCAGCCCTGGCTTTGGGGGGAGGCGCGGTCAGGGTAAGGGTGGTGTGACCCTCAAAGGTTTGGGGACCACTGTTCTAGAGCCAATCAGTGCTACAGAGTGCATCAGCCAGAGGGTACCACTCTGGATTGGCATGAGTATGGGCTCCCTGCCTGGGCCCTTATGACGTGTGTCCCAGCACAATCCTGATCCAGGCCTATCCTCCCAGCCCAGATTCACCCCTTCTGCCAGGGACAGGTGGCCAGTGAGCCATTCCCTTCCACTGCAGTGCTGTGGGTGTGATGGGAAGGGAGCTCGACGCTGGTACGAGCTCCCCTCATTCCCTGCTGAGGCTGCCTTGACCCACGTCCCTCTCGTCCTCCCCTCTCCAGACCGCCCTGGATCACGGCATGCTCACCTGCCTGCGGCAGCTGCGCCAGAAGAGGGCCTCCAAGAAGCTGTTCAAGAGGCTGGAGCAGGAGCTCAGTCAGCAGCAGCCATCCTGGCCACCACTGAACGAGCCGCTCTTTGCCACCCCCAAAATGTCCATCTCCGGGAGCTAGCCCCAGCTCCTGGAGAGCCCTCGCTCCAGGGACAGCGTCCGTGAGTCCAGCAACAGCCTGGAAGAGCTTTCCGGCCTTCCCCGATACAGCTCCGTTTATTTACGTTCGTCTGTCCGTCGCTGCCTTCCCCATGGGCTCTGGCTACTGCAGGGTTCTCAGCGCCCCGCCCCAATGAGAAACCTCCCGCTGATCGCCCCAAGGTGCTCGTCTCAGGGGAAGGATGTGGGAGGCAGAAGAAGGCCAGGGAGCCCATCGCCCCTGGGGTGCAAGTACTCCCTCGTTCTGGAAAGCAGGACAGGTGCGGTTACCTCAGGGAAGCCCTCAGCAGTACTAGCAGCTGTCCTCCGCGCAGGAAACTTCCAGATCTCTGGCGTGCGTGGGTCAAGCGCCAGTCAGGATTAGACGCGGGCAAGTGACTCGGGAAGAGGAGCCGTCAGGGACTGCTGCTATGTCTTAGTCACAGTGCCCCGTCGAATGGTTAGCTTCCCCGTATGGGGCCCCAGCTGATTCCTTCATCCCCCTTGGGACCCCACTCTTCCACTCGCTGTGGGTGGCTGGCTCAGATCCACAGCTGGGTGATTTGCCCTGGACTGGGCAGGGAGCAGTCCTCACAGATACGTTACACCTTGTCAGGAAGGGCTGCAGGGGGCAATGTTTGAAAAGGGGGAACCCCTTCCACCCCACACCGTTGTCCTTGGTGTTAAAAGCCACTAATAAAAGATGGCCGCTGTTGCCACAGTGCTGCCCTCGTCTTGCGGCTCTTCTCGCTGTGAACAAGCCGCCAGCATCCCTCTGCAGTCGAGGCAGTGACCTCCGAACGGCCACGCGGCGCAGACTCTGTTAGCTTGCCGGACCTGTTTGCAACCCAGCTGCTGTAGCAAAGGAGAGTGTTACCTGGCACGTGTGATGCTCAGCGCTCATTGAGAGACCAGGCATGACTAGCTGCTGGAACGTGACCAAGGATGGGATTAGAGATATTTAATTAAGAGCTGTATTTATTCTGCCCCCCCCCTCGCCTGTTCATCAGAGCAGGTAGAATTGTAGCAGTCGGCCGTAGTGTCCATCCAAACCGATCCTTGCCTCCGCTCTTGGGGAGCGCATGGATTGCTGCCACTGTTCCAAAAAGCTGGGTCGTTTGCCACCACTGTAGCCGAGAAGCTGCGTGCCAGATTCCAGTTTGAAAGCCAGGTTTGTGCACTTCCACTGCTGATGGGTCCTCTGCTAGAACGTTACTGGTGACGCTTCGGCAAAGCGATGGAATTGAAATGGAAGATGTGTAAGATGTAAGCTTTATTTTTATTCGTCAAAGAGTATAGAGAGTGGGGAGGAGGTGGTGTGTAAATCATGTACAATCTCCAACTTTGCTGTGTTGCTTTTTTGAGTGTATCTAATAAATCAACATTATTTTCTTGAAAACTAGCTTGTGCCATTTAATTCTGAGGGGCTACATTCCCCAGTGCATCACAACTAGGTAATGGAGAACAGGTACGGAGATCGAACCGGGCTACCCGGAGACTAACACGTGTCTACCAAGAAATAGGAAAATGTATTTGTGATTGCATGGAAAAATTCCTTTCTTCAAATAACAAGTTAACAGTAATATTCAGTATTGTTCATGTTTTTTGACTGAGTGTTGTTGGTTGTGGTATTTTTGTTTTTATATCTGCTTCTTCTGTCACTTGCCTAGTCTGATGGCTTTACTGATACAAACCCATTTTAAAGCTGCCAAATGTAAGGTCGCACATCTATGAACAAAGAATAATAGGTCACTGTGACATACCCAGGGTACAATCTGGACTGATGAACAGCTGTGTTCCCTCAGTTCTCCAAGCTAGGGTTCCTTTTACACTGCTTCACCATGAGAGCTACCACTCTGGATGTGCTCTCGCACAGCCTCCAGCATGTAAATCACTCCCAGTTATACTGCAGGGGTGCTACAGCCAGCCACCCTTGAATTACACTGCAGAGTAACACCTGCAAATTTCCAGTCCCAGACTTTCCCCCAGAAATGTGTCTTGTACTGCCCAGCCCTCTCCTGGACAACACAAGCTCATATAAAGTCCGTCATTTTATTACTAGAAAATGATGTGCACAAATCCTGTTATCTCAAATGGAGCTTCCCAAACACTTCAGTCCAAGCACTCTGGTCTAGATAAAGCAATAAAACTAGTTTAACTACTACAGAAAGATGGATTTTAAGTGATTACAAGTAATGAGGCATAAAAGTCAGAACTGGTTACCAGAAAATAAAAGTAAATCGCAACTAAGGCCTAACTGAACAAGTTAGAGTGAATTCAAAGCCAAGGTGTCTCTCATCACACGTTTCATCAGTCTTACTGGCTGAATGTTTCCATCAGGGTCCCTCCCCCAGTCCAAAGCTGTTCCCTTTGTTCTTCAGGTGTCGTGGATGCTGTGGGAAGAGAGAAAGGAGGAACCATTAGGAGCATCTCCTCTTTCCGTTTTTAGCTCTTTCTGTTCTTGGAGAATCATCTCCAGCTGAGGTTCAGGAGACAGAAAGTCTATGTGGATGGGAACCCCCAGTTGTTTCTTTGTCAAGATGTAAATCTTCACCCACATCCTCTTTCCTGCCAAAGAGAGGCCACTTAACCGGGCGATGGTCCATTTGATTTTGTTGACACCTGGCTGAGGCGTTGGCTACATTTTTGTCTCTGGTGAGCTGGTTTGTGGCTTCTCCCCTCCAGACTTGGAACATGTCTAGTAATATCATACAGAGGAATCCTATAACTTGAAATCTGTGTGGCAACATTGCATGTAACCAGGATAATAATGATCACCAAATTATGAGCTTGCAAATGATATCGCACAAGTCATACTTTGTACAAAATTTATGTTCACCCCTTTTACAGGACTATGATGGGGTACAGACTGTCATAGTCACCCTTATGATTAAGGCCAGAATTCATAGTTAGATCATCTCATCTGACCTGTATTTCACAGTCAGTATTTCACCCAGTTATCCCTGTATTGAGCCCAATGACTTGTGTTTGAGTAAAGCATCTCTTCCATAAAGTCTTGATCTGAAGACATCAATTGATAGAGACTCAACCACTCCCCCAGTGGTTAATCACCCTCATTGTTAAAACATTAATGTCTAATTTGAATTTTATCTGGCTTTGGCTTCTGGCCATTGGTTCTTGTTTATGCTTTTCTCCAAATGACTGCATCCTGGAGAGAAATGTCTCTGAGAAGGATTTTGGGGTCTCGGTGGATAACCAATGTTACATGAGCGCCCAGTGCAATGCTGTAGCTAAGAGGGCAAATACGACCCTTGGATGTAGAAGCAGGGGAGTAACTGAGCAGGAGTAGGGAGGTGGCATTACTTCTGTATGGAGCATCAGTTAACCTATCACTGGACAACCGTCCAGTTTTAGCATCCACTCTTCAGAAAGCATGTTGACAAATTGGAAAAAGTTCAGAAACCTGCTGCAAGCACAATTTCAGGTCTGGAAAGCTGGGAAGAGACTAACCAAGATCAGTCTGTTTAGTTTATCCCAGAGAAGGTGACTTGAGCATGGTCTACACGTGCCTACTTGGGGAAGAGATTTCTGCTAATAGACCCATTCTTGAAACCGGCAGAGGTCCAAAGGCAGGCAACTGAGGCTAGACAAATTCACATAAGAAATGAGGAATCCATTTCTTAACTGAGGGTAATTCACTGTGAGAACAACTTAGCAATGGGCATGGTTGATTCTCCATCACGTGAAGCCTTCAAATCAAGACTTTCTAAAAGATGTGCTCTAGCTCCAACAGATGTTATGGGCTTGATGCAGAAGTCACTGGCTGAGCTTCCCAGACTAGTCTATGAAGCTTGCTCCTGAGCTGAGCCAGCAGAGGTATTGGAGGGAGAGTCGATTTTCCTTTGGCATTGTGCATAGCAAGGAAATCATTCAGTTGCATTTGGACTGCTGAGACTTTCATCAGCCCCAGCAAGAAGCCCAGAGAGCACAACCTGGATAGAAATCTATTGCTTCTCTTTTTCTTTCCGACTTTGGATTCTGCTCACCTGCTTAATAACTTGTGACTTCAGAACTGAATATCTGACACAGACGTCACCAAGGAGGAGTATACAAAGACCCATTCAACTGTAATATTCAGAGGCCTTCTCAGATTATAAGAGCTTCATCTAAAGCCTACTGTAGTCAGTGAGAGTCTGTCAATTGACTTAACTGGTCTTTTGGATCAGCTTTGATCTGCATTTGCATGCACTGATTCAGTATTTCCACCCATCTGCAAATTAGAGAGACAGGGTGGGCGAAGTGATATCTTTTATTGGACCAGCTTCAGTTGGAGACCGAGACAAGCTTTTGAGTTTACACAGAGCTCATCTTCAGGCCTGGGAAAGGTACTGCAAATATCCCCTAGAGGGCGACGTGAGACTTGAGCTTGAGGCTATGGAGGAGAAGCCGTAGCCTCTGAGTCAATTTCCTTATGGATCTACTTTCAGTAACACAAGATGCCTCTTCTGCAGATCTGAGCAAGATTAGAAGAGAGAAGACAAAGCTTTGAGGCCTGTACTGTTTGTAAATTCTTTTGGGGCAGGAAACTGGTTTTTAGCTGTAAAGAAGCTTCAGTGATTTCTGGAGCCTGTCTCCAAACACAGCTCCTTTTCAGGTCCAGAGTTTGTTTGCACTTTTTATTGGCCATATGACCTCGTCCACACTAGGGCTTGTAAAACTTGTTTGGAAACCATCTCCAAACACTGTGACAACCCAACTCGGCCTGCGTCCAAACGCAAACCATTACAGCGGCGTTAAGAGGCTGTGTTAAGAGCCTGATCCACTCAATGGCAATCAGTGTTGTTAAACACATTCGATCTAAATACTTCTATGTCGTTCTAATACAAATATTAAATATAAGCACACACAACAGCCAAAGTGAATCGAAGCAATGTTGTGCTTTGGTTATTGGAATGAATTATTCATTCATTCAACATCACTGAAATGAGAGAATCATTCGGACTTTGTCTCCACCAAATTTTGTCAAAATCGACACTTTCCTGGGAAACGTTTTGATTTCGACAGTTGCATTTTTCAATGGACAACTGGTCCATCTAAAACTTTTCAACCCGGCTCCGCCCAGGAATTATGATCCCCATCCTTGAGTGCCATCTACTGGCCTTTTATCCATAAACTCTTTACATATATACAGACATAAGTACTCTTGTCACAAAGGCCTCCTGACCTAGGGTGTTTCCTCTTCTGATTTTTCTCTTCCTTCTTCTTCCCCACAACCAAATTATCTTCGTAGCAGAACAGCCAGGCTCCTGCAAGGTGGAAAACTTTCAAGCCAGTAATGTTCCCAGCTTCCACTGACCTAAGAAGTGTTAACAGCCGTAGGGAGGTGCAGTGCTCCTGCACCGATTTGCCCCTCAGCCAGCCCAGGTGAGTCTCATTAGCTCCCATGGAGCAGAGTGTGCCTCTCTCAAGAGGGCAGCAGTAAGAGAGGGACAGGGCAGCTTGCAAGCAGGGCAGCTCCGGGGCTGGTCGGCTCAGGAGCATAGCCTTGTTTCTAGGGGGCTGGTTGGAAGCATGGCTCCTGCTTAAGTCCCTCAGGAAGGTGGATAAATTCAATGATCATGAAAGGGGGTGAGCTTTCATAGAGATTTCATAGAATATCAGGGTTGGAAGGGACCTCAGGAGGTCATCTAGTCCAAACCCCTGCTCAAAGCAGGACCAATCCCCAACTAAATCATCCCAACCAGGCCTTTGTCAAGCCTGACCTTAAAAACCTCAAAGGAAGGAGATTCCACCACCTCCCTAGGTAACCCATTCCAGTGCTTCACCACCCTCCTAGTGAGAAAGTTTTTCCTAATATCCAACCTAAACTTCCCCCCACTGCAATTTGAGACCATTACTCCTCGTTCTGTCATCAGCTACCACTGAGAACAGTCTAGATCCATCATCTTTGGAACCCCCTTTCAGATAGTTGAAAGCAGCTATCAAATCCCCCCTCATTCTTCTCCTCCGCAGACTAAACAATCCCAGTTCCCTCACCCTCTCCTCATAAGTCATGTGTTCCAATCCCCTAATCATTTTTTGTTGCCCTCTGCTGGATGTTTTCCAATTTTTTCACATCCTTCTTGTAGTGTGGGGCCCAAAACTGGACACAGTACTCCAAATGAGGCCTTACCCATGTCGAATAGAGGGGAACAATCACGTACCTCGATCTGCTGGCAATGCTCCTACTTATACAGCCCCAAATGCCATTAGCCTTCTTGGCTAATACTGACTCATATCCAGCTTCTCGTTCACTGTAACCCTAGGTCCTTTTCTGCAGAACTGCTGCCTAGCCATTTAGTCCTTGGTCTGTAGCAGTGCATGGGATTCTTCTGTCCTAAGTGCAGGATTCTGCACTTGTCCTTGTTAAACCTCATCAGATTTCTTTTGGCCCAATCCTCGAATTTGTCTAGGTCCCTCTGTATCCTATCCCTAACCTCCAGCGTATCTACCTCTCCTCCCAGTTTAGCGTCATCTGCAAACTTGCTGAGGGTGCAATCCACACCATCCTCCAGATCATTAATGAAGATATTGAACAAAACGGGTCTGAGAACCAACCCTTGGGGCACTCCACCTGATACTGGCTGCCAACGAGACATGGAGCCATTGATCACTACCCATTGAGCCCGACAATCTAGCCAGCTTTCTATCCACCTTATCGTCCATTCATCCAGCCCATACTTCTTTAACTTCCTGGCAAGAATAATGGCAGCCACTGCACAACTGTTGATGGGCGGGAGTCGAGAGTGTGTCTCCGCTGTGGCTTGCCTTGCTGCCGTCCCTTGGGGTGGGGAGGTGGCCCTTTCCAGCACAAGACCACCACCACCTGGAGGCCAGCAGGGCAGAGCCAGGAACATGATGGGACTTTGGGGGGGTAGGGGGGGGCGAAGTGACCTGTGGGTGAAGCCAGTGCTGACAGGCAGGAGGGAATAGGGGAGGAGGGTATGGGTTGCTGGGGTGGTGGGTGTGGAGGAGGGTGTTACTTTGGGTGATGGTTTTGAGGCAGGTTGTGGCTGTGGCCGGGGGAAGCCCAGGAAGGGGAGTCTTCCCATTCACTCACTTATTGCCCATGGGTAGGATTTTCAAAGGGTCCAAGGGACTTAACCCCTCAACTCACCCTGAAACTCAGCGGTCGATCTATGCTCCTTTTGTGAGGAAATGTCTTGTTTTGCTCGTTCGATCTGTCAGGTTTGGAGCAAGCTGCCGGTACCCTTTGGGCAGTGCAAGATCCTGGGCAGAGGGCAAACAAAAGTCTTCCATGCTAGAGTTTCAGCCAGCATCTTGTCTCTTTGGAGCGCTGGGTTCAAAGCCTCATTCGGGTTCCAATTGAAAAGACCCACGTTTATAAAGTCTGGCTCTGGAGTTGGAACCACCCCAATGGTTCAGATCCACGTTAGATCGGGATGGGACACTCATTTCCGCTTCCCTCATCTCCAGCCTCGGTGCGGGCAGCTCGCGTGAGGTTTAGGTCTGGCGGGTTAGTGGCCGCTTGCCGTATCCTGCTGCCGAGTTCAAAGTCGAGCTTGTGGGTCTGGCAGCAGCCAGCCAGCCAGGCTCCGACTCTGGATGTGCACCCAGCAATTTAATGTGCTTGCTCGCATCTTTTGTCAGACGATCACACAGGGAACGTCTAGACAAAGGCGGCAGCAGCCACCATTGCTAACATCAACACCAAGGCCAGACAAAATAAACAGCGAATGTTCCCAGTCCGGTGGGCTTGTCTGTCTCTCCCACAGAGATCTGTGGGGCTCTTTGTTTGTAATTCATGTCTGAGTGCTCAGCTGAGATTCAGTATCTGGATATACTAGGTGCAGGGAAGGGGAAGGGGAGGGTCCTGTGGTTTAAAACCTAAAAGACGGGACTCCTGTGTTCTACTCCCAGCTCTGCCATTGACTTGCTTGGTGACCTTGGGCAAATTGTTTAGTCTTTCTCAGTCTGTTACCCCCCTTTTTTTTTTTTACAGATGAGGTTAGTCCTTAGCTTCCTACTAAGGGTGGGGTTGTGAGGTTCATTAATAGCTGTAAAGCGCTTTGAGTGGCTTGGGCAGAAGATGCTGCGTAAGGGCAACGTTTAGTGGTGGTGGTCTTCAGGCAAGGGACTGCTTTGTTTAGAGCCAGAGCCCAGGCAGGAAGGCTGAAGGCTTGCGTTATCCACCAGGTCCAAATCTCTCTCTGGTCCCTCCCACCCTGTCTCCCGATAGGCCTGCATTCTTCCCTCATCCAAGGAGGAGGGGCCTGGCATGCTTCCTGCCAGCCAGCTGCGGGTGTCTGCTGTCCCCCACTACGTCTACACAACGAACTAGGGGTATGACTCCTCTGCCCCATCGAGGCAGCACAAGGATCAACAGCAGCAGCATCAGTGGTGGCCCAGCTGATCCGGGCCAAACAGAAACCTACCCTGAAGACGGTGGGTCTGTATTTTCTGCTGCACTACTACGGCTGCCCTGCTATTTATACTCATAGAATCATAGAATATCAGGGTTGGAAGGGACCCCAGAAGGTCATCTAGTCCAACCCCCTGCTCGAAGCAGGACCAATTCCCAGTTAAATCATCCCAGCCAGGGCTTTGTCAAGCCTGACCTTAAAAACCTCTAAGGAAGGAGATTCTACCACCTCCCTAGGTAACGCATTCCAGTGTTTCACCACCCTCTTAGTGAAAAAGTTTTTCCTAATATCCAATCTAAACCTCCCCCACTGCAACCTACTCACGCTAGGTCAATTCGTATGGAGTATGTGTATGCAAACAGGTGACTCACACCTCTAACCTGGGCCTCATCAGAATGGTTTGTATGTTACCCCTGTACAGACCACCTGTCCCCTCCTGTTGAGATGGTGGTGGTTACTTTGTGTTAAGGTACCATCTGGAGGCCCCAGTCCCGCCTAGAGCTTTTCCCACACCATGCGTATTTTCAAGAGTTCAAAACTTTTGGGAGACGAAAAGCCAGCCTCGAAAATATTCACAACCTAAAAAAACAAACAAATAAAAAAAATGTACAGGTCAATTGAAACATTCTCATTTTGATTGTGACCCTTTTCTTCACCTTTTTTTTTTTTTAACATCCTAATTAGCTGAAATTTCCAAACAAAAAGCAGTTTCAGACAGGAGAACTGGAATTTTTCATTTCAACAATGTCAAACTTTTGTTTTCTCAACATCATTTCAAGTCAGGAAGTTCATTGAACCCTGTCCTGTTTCACAAATGGTTTTGGTTTTTGAAAACTTGGGGTTTTTTTCAATGAAAATTAAAAAAACACCCCAATTTGTCAGAAAATTCCCACCCAGCTGTCATCTTGACTGGGACCCCATCACACCGTGAGCCGTGCAAACACAGAATGAAAGGTGGCCTCTTCCTGAAAAGCTTGCAATCTCAAGACAAAACGCAATGAGTGGGTTAACTATCATAACGAGGTTGGGAGGGAAACAGGAATCAAAACCAGGTTGTTGAGGAAGCTGGGTGGTTTTGAGTCAGTTAATATTAGATGACAAACTTCAGAAGCTCCTACTTGCGCCTACCTGGCCATGATCAGCTGGCAATTTTCCATAGGCGGCATGATAGAAATGGTTTTTGTGGTGGTGATCTTGCAGCACAGAGCATTTGTGTTTAACGATTCAACGATTGTATTATTCATACATTGCAGGACATTGCCACGAGCCACCTGTAAGTGGCAGTGGGCAGAAGCTCATCCCCTCACCCTGTAGTCCAGGAACCTGCCTTTGACCTGTGCAGCCACATCCTTAAATAGCTGTTCCACAAAAGTCTTGAGGAGGCAATCAGAGGACAGAGTCGTGGCTTGGAGGCCTGGTTTGGAGCAGATGGAGAGTAGGCATCACTGGTGACATACAGAGGATGCTGGTGCAGCAAGGTACATGTGCAGACGTTACAGAACGTATTTGCTTTCTGCAGGTCTGTAAGAGAAATATCAGTGTCATTGCAGTAGTGCCAAGGAGCCACGGTCGTGGCCCAGGCCCTCATTGTGCTAGACGCTATACAAACACAGAACAAAAGACCATCCCTGCCCCAAAGAACTGACAATCCAAGCAGATAGCAACAGAACCACATGTGGGCTAGTTTAAAGTTTCTTTGGGTTCACAGTTCCAGGCATCTGAATGTCTCTCAAAGGAATGCCCTTATGGAACATTCCTACAGAACTTAATAGGGATGAAACCCACAGGGTTCTATAGAAGTAACTTTAGAAACCTAGAGAATGGTATCGTCTCACTAGCGTTTTTAAAGCGACTTACAGTCCTGGATAGAGAGCCCCATCCCTGTTACAGAGCTCTACAGGGTGGAAAAGTTACCATGCTCTGTTAATTTCTTTCCCCTGGATGCATTCTGGGGTTTCCTTTCACCTTCCTCTAAAGCATCGCCAGCTGTGGCTAAACTGGGATAGGAAACAGAACAGGGTGGACCACTGTTCTGAGATGATACAGAGAGCCTTCTTTCTTAGATGCGTGGCTGATGTCTTGCTCATATGTTTTGGGTTGTTCCTCATGTCCAAATTTGGGGTTGGGAAAGAATTCTCCCCCAGGTCAGATTGGCAGGGACTTTGGGGGGATTTCACCTTCTTCTGCAGCGTGAAGCATGGGTCACCTGCTAGGATCATCAACCTAATCATTTCCAGCTTCCAGCACCGGTGGCACTTCGGTCTCTCTTGGTCTCAGCCTGTAGCACACAACAGTCAGTCTCCTGAGGGCTGAAATGGTTTAGTCTAACCCAAGTTAACGCAGGGGTAACCAAGCCAAATTTAGTTGGGTGTGATATACAGGAGATGACCTAATGGTCCCCTTCTGGCCTTAAACGCTATGAAATTCCATAGGGCTTCTTGAGCAAATGTGAGGTTAACTAGACTTTAAATTGTTGACATTAAAATTTAATAAGCTTTAATTTAAACAAGTGCCTTTACTTGCTTATGTCTCTGATGTCCCCTGTTTTTCATGTACCTTTCAGCTGTATGAATAATTTTCTCTGGCAACTCGCATCTTTCATTTTAGTATGCAGTGTGGCTGTAGCTGTGTTGGTCCCAGGATACTAGAGATACAAGGTGGGTGAAGTGATGTCTTCTATTGGACCAACTTCTGTTGGTGAGATAGACAAGCTTACGAGCTTACACAGAGCTTGAAAACTTGTCTATCTCACCAACAGAAGTTGGTGCAGTAAAAAATATTACTTCACCCAACTTACCTTTCACTGTGCAAAGTTTTAAAACTTTTGTGTCAGTTGCTTTGAAGTTTTTATTTTTTCCAGTGAGAATAAAGCTCTCCTCCCTCATCTTGAGTTCTTCATCCTTATTACCGTCTAATGGATGCTCTCTTGGGGTGCATGTGTGAATACATGTATGTCCGGAAAACATAACCTTCCAAAATCAAAGTTTTCATACTTCCTATTAGGGCTGTCAAGCATTTAAAAAAATTAATCGGACAATTAATCACGCTGTTAAACAATCATGGAATACCATCTATTTAAATGTTTTGGATGTTTTCTACATTTTCAAATATATTGATTTCAGTTACAACACAGAATACAAGGTGTACAGTGCTCACTTTATATTTATTTTTTATTACAAATATTTGCCCTGTAAAAAACAAATAGTATTTTTCAGTTCACCTCAGACAGGTACTGTGGTGCAATCTCTTTATTGCGAAAGATCAACTTACAAATGTAGAATTATGTACAAAAAAAACCTGCATTCAAAAATAAAACAATGTAAAACTTTAGAGCCTACAAGTCCACTCAGTCCTACTTCAGCCAATCGCTCAGACAACCACATTTGGTTACAATTTGCAGGAGATAATGCTGCCCGCTTCTTGTTTACATCACCTGAAAGTGAGAACAGGTGGTTGCATGGGACTGTTGTAGCTGGCATCGCGAGATATTTACGTGCCTGATGCACTAAAAATTCATCTTCAACCACCATTCCAGAGGACATGCGTCCATGCTGATGATGGGTTCTGCTTGATAACGATCCAAAGCAGAGTGGACCGACACATGTTCGTTTTCATCATGTGAGTCAGATGCCACCATAAGAAGGTTGATTTTCTTTTTTGGTAGTTTGGGTTCTGTAGTTTCCGCATCTGAGTGTTGCTCTTTTAAGACTTCTGAAAGCGTGCTCCATGCTTCGTCCCTCTCAGATTTTGGAAGGCACTTTTGATTGTTAAACCTTGGGTCGAGGGCTGTAGCTATTTTTAGAAATCTCACATTGGTATCGTCTTTACGTTTTGTCAAATCTGCAGTGAAAGTGTTCTTAAAACGAACATGTGTTGGATCATCATCTGAGACTGTTATAACATGAAATATATGGCAGAATGCAGGTAAAATAGAGCTGAAGACCTACAGTTCTTCCCCAAGGAGTTCAGTCACAAATTTAATTAACACATTATTTTTTAAGGAGCATCATCAGCATGGAAGCATGTCCTCTGGAATGGTGGCCGAAGCATGAAGGGGCATATGAATGTTTAGCATATCTGGCACGTAAATACCTTGCAACGCCAGCTACAAAAGTGCCATGTGAATGCCTGTTCTCACTTTCAGGTGACATTGTAAATAAGCAGGTAGCAGCATCTGTTGTAAATGAAACAAACTTGTTTGTCTTAGTGATTGGCTGATCAAGAAGTAGGACTGAGTGGACTTGTAGGCTCTAAAGTTTTACATTGTTTGTTTCTGAGAGCAGTTATGTAACAAAAAATCTGCATTTGTAAGTTACAGTTTCAGGATAAAGAGATTGTACTACGGTACTTGTATGAGGTTAATTGAAATTTTTTTTATAATTTTTATAGTGCAAACATTTGTAATAAAAATAATATAAAGTGAGCACTGTACACTTTGTATTCTGTATTGTAATAGAAATCAATATATTTGAAAATATAGAAAAACATACAAAATATTTAATAAATTTCAATTGATATTCTGTCAGTTTTCAAAGTAGCAGCCGTGTTAGTCTGTATTCGCAAAAAGAAAAGCAGTACTTGTGGCACCTTAGAGACTAACAAATTTCTTTGAGCATAAGCTTTCGTGTGAGCTGTAGCTCATGAAAGCTTATGCTCAAATAAATTGATATTCTATGGCTTAACAGTACAATTAATTGCGATTAATTTTTTTGAGTTAATCGCGTGAGTTACCTGCGATTGAGAGCCCTGCTTCCTATCCAGGTAAAGCCTGGAAGAAGAGGTAACACAAACAGATCCTCTGCTTCTGTGTTATTGGAATAGGTCCTGTTTGTACAACAAATGTAGTATCAGTTTAACACTCATGCAACCTCTACTGAGAGGCAATATGGACTATATTCTGCCTAGAGCTGGGCAGGAAATGGTTTTCCTGTCCAGTGAATATTTTCGGGTGTTCATTTTTCCCCCCATCTCAAATCAGGATCAAAAGTCAAAATTTCAGATATTTTGCAAACTGAAAATCCAATTTTTTTCCCCATGTCAGGTCCATTGAAACATTTGAATTTTGCTTTTTTTCTTTTCCATTTTTTTCAGTCTAATGGCTTACATTTCTAAATGAAAAGTCATTACAAACTAGAAAACTGGCATTTTTTGGGTGGAGAACGTCTTGACAATTTTTTTTTATTTTTTTTTCCCTGTTGGTTTTCAAGGCAGGAAATGTGTCAAACCCAGCATTGTTTCGCGAACAAGTCGGGGTTTCAAAAAATGGGCATTTTTTTCAACAACAACAAAAAAGATTTGTCAAAAAAAAATCTCAGCCAGTAATATTCCTGCCTTTGCAGGGGGGTTAATTTAATCTTGTGTGTTCTATTTTTAGGGGAGCAGCGGGGCCAAGTGCTTTGAGAAATGGAGTCTGGGGGGTTCTGTTCCCAGTTTTTCTCTGACTTTCAGTGGGACCACAGACAAATCGCTCCCCTTTCTGTGCCTCAGTTCTCCCTTCTGTAAAATGGGGATAGTATCCAGTTTTGTGAAGTACTTTGCACTGCTGTAGTGCAGAGGAGCTTGGAGATCTGGGAATGGTCTTCACTTTCTTACTGCAATGTAATGCTGCTAGTCTGTGGACTGCCATCCTCTGTTCAACCACAAAATGGAGCAGCCAAGGCCACAATAGTGCAAGCTCCCGCAGGCTGCTCTGCCAGCAGGGCCTAGGAGAAGTGACTGGGAGGGATGCCTCTAGGCACGGAAGAGAGCTCTAGCATGGAAAGAGGAATTCCATTCTGTCCTTGGCCTCTTTGCTCTCACTGCCAAACACTCAGAGCCTGATCCAAAGCCAATTAGACCAGCCGTTCTCTGGGGCAGGGTTGGATGGTGGTTTGGTTGGGTTTGTCCAGCACTTAGCACAATGGGGGCCTGGTCCGTGGTGCAGGTTCCTAGGTGCTACCACGATACAAATCATCAGTAAGAGTGTATTCGGGTAGCCGTCTCTGGGGCGAGATGCACACTGCACTGCCAGCCCAGCTGTGTGGGAGCCGCACTCGTGGACTCACTGTTTCCAGGCCTGAGCTCAGGCTGGACCCAGGCCTCTCGGCCGTCTGAACACATCCTTACTGCGCTACACGCAACTAATTTGGGTCTGCGGCTTGTCCTGCGTCCACACTGCAAAGTGACGGCTTGGCCCTGAGTCTCAGTGGGGCTCGGACGCTCACCGTCCCATCTGCAGCAGGCGCCGGGGACCTGAGCCTAGAGGGGCTCTTGGACCAAGGTCTGTGTGGATGGAAGGGGAGTTTGGGCCCAAAGCCAGGGTTTATGGTGCAGTGTAGACCTCTTAATTGGCCTGAGAAGGACTTTGGATGAATTATAATGGGGCCTTTGCTAGGTGCACACTAGTCTGCTGAGGCCTGAGCTAAAACCACCAGTGTTTTTGTTGTTCCCACTGAAAAGCTGGTGAAGGGGAACGATTCCTGACCACCACTGTGACCAC